TTAAAGTTAATAAAGAAAATTAGAGCGCCACACGCGCCCCACGATGTAATACATCGGGGATAGTTAAAAAAAAAAAATATATAGCAATTATGCCAAAATCACAAACTTAATTGAATCAGTTTTATTAAAAATTATAAAAATAAATAGTTATGCAATGTTGTTGTATAAAATTAGAAATAAGAGAAATCTACACAGACTCCATTTTAGTTATAAGAAACTATATTCTTTATTTCAATCTATTCCTAGTATAAGAAAATTTCTTTTTACAAAAGAGGTTAATAGTATTTGCAATCTGAATATAGGTTTGAATTTTAGTAACTAATCCAAAAACCTATTAATGAAGTTAATGTCTGACTGCTATTTAGTTTGTTAGTTGACATTACTCAATTCTGATAAATCTAATCCAAAATTCTAAGACTTTGCAAAAAACATTAAAATCTATAAAACATATTTATATATTTAAAAAAAATTGACAAATTTTTTTGTTTAAGTCCTTGACAATCAGTAATTATTATTTTTTTTTTTTTTGTAGTTAAACTAGCTTCTTTTAGAGCTAGAGCTTTTTATTCAGTAGTTAGGATATAGAGACTCATAGCCAAAGCCTCAAAAAAGTCTTTTTACATTAGAGAGTACAACTAGTTATACATATATTTTTGGTATTTAATTAAGTAGTTCACTAATAATTCTATACTAGCTGCTAAACCTGCAACCCAACTATGAATGTTGTCTATTTAAACTCTTTTTACTGCAATTCTTACTGTATTATTAGATTATCTCTACTATATAAGTCAGTCAAAAAGGTCTAGATGCTTACCTATATTTTTAGGATTTTATATCTTATTTCATACAGTGTATTCTCAGAAGCATTATTAATAAAGTTTTCTGTATTCCATATACAGCTAACCTAGTTTTATATAATATACTATAGTTATCTAATACTTGCAATTAGAACTAATCTTAAACTACTATGTTATACTATTTCTATCTTTGTAAAGTTTATTCAAACCCTGGTATCTATCTTCTTAACATCTTTTTTATCATCACCTACTAACTGCAACTCAGAACCAACAGACTTTTTAGATTTCTAATCCAGATGGCCCAGTATAGTATATCTTAGTATCTTTTTTCTTTAGTGATTCTGACAGCCTGATTAATCATATGCTTCTTTATACATCTTGTTATCTGGTTTATTTACCTGTTCCTATAAAGGTGTTTTATAGACTTTCATCAGTTTGACAGCACTGTTAAAAGTTTGTGCTACCTTTTTACTCAGGAATTTCAAAGTAAAATTATGTTTCCTTGGTTTCTTAGTCTTCTGCATTTGGTGGTCTTATCATGGATTTGTACTAAAGTCTTATACAATACTAGTTATTAACATTTCTCTATATATATATAATGTTATACTTTATATAAATGCTTTGAGCTCTTAATGATAAGTAGGACCCAACTTGGTATATCTGGATTACAGTCACATAAGGCCAACTGATTGACAGAAAACAGTTTCTGTAATACAAATTAATTTTCAAATTTCATTATAAGTAGGATTTGAACTTTAAATCTGTTACTTAGAGAATAACAACCTAACCACTATACTAGAATTACTATTCTCTATTAGTGATTATTATTTTATCTGCCTGATAAAAAATTTAATAAAAAAAAAATGAAATTACAAAATATTTAGTATTAAGAGCTTTAAATTTATATTAGATTACTAATTTTTATAACAAAAAATTATTTTTATTACTGTTTGTTATTGCATTTTTAATTTTACAAATGTACTGTATATACTCATTTATAAGTTTTTTTTTTTTACTAAACCATAAATAAGTCATGCAGACTAATCAATTTCAAGACTTTGTATATAAAGATATCCATTTCTGATATCTACCTTTCAAAGTATTGTTTGGGATGCTACACAAAGTCACAATGAAGGATAACCTAATTATATGCTAAGAATCATATATATTATTTAACTTTTAAGTAAACCATACCCTATGTATTTTATATTCTGTTTCTGGTATAGCTATAAACCTACTAAGTTAATTCTAAATCCTAATATCAAAAATAATTATATAAAATTCTAATTAACCAAGATTACTAGTATTGTATTTATTTATTTGATTACTTAAATTATTTAAAAATATAATAAAATTTAAATATTAAATAATAATTCAGAGGATAGTAATTCTAGTGTAGTGATTGGGTTGTTATCCTCCAAGTGGCAAGTCTAAAGTTCAAATCCCACCTATGATAAAATTTGAAAATTAACCTGTGTTATGACAAACTGTCTCTTGATGATTGTTGGATTTATGTATTTGTAACCTTAAGTCACACTATCTCGAATAGAAGCTTGAGGCATTTATGCCAAGTGTAATGTTATATATACATAGAGGAATGTTAATAACCAGTATCACATAAGACTTTGGTGTAAACCTATGATAAGACCCACCAGGCACAGTAAACTAAAAAATCTAAGAATCGGAAGCCTACTTAAAAATTTCTAAATAAAGAGGTAACATAAACTTTTAACAATATAGTTAGACTGATAGAAGCTCATGAAACACTCCTAAAGGGATAGATGAATAAACTGGATATCAAGATATATAAAAGAGCATATAACCAATCAGGCTGTCTAAATTGCCAGAGAAAAAAAATATATAAGTATACTATACAAAGCTATCTGGATTAGAAGTTAGGAAAGTCTTGTCAGTCCTAAGTAGTAGTTAGTAAAAGATAATGAAGAAGACATTATGATGATAGGTACTGAGGTTCTAGTGAACTTTACAAAAGTATAAATAGTGTACTGTAGCAGTTAAACAAGTAATCTTTGTAATTGCAAGTGTTAGATAACTATAGCATGTTATATAAAACTAGATTAGCTGCATGTAGAACACAGAAGGTTCTAGTAAGTTTTCTGTCAAGGATAAACTAATCCTAAGAGTCTTAAAAGCATCAGGTACTTTGGATGGGTGTAGCCCAGAAGATGTCCCTGTGATTACAAGTCAGATTATATATGCAAAGAGTTTAAATAAGCAAATTCTGTAGTTGGCTTGCAGATATAACACCTAGTATAGAATCTGTATAGTAATGTATAAGCAGACTACTTAAATTAGGCACCAAAAGTGCATGTGTAGCTAGCTGTAACCTTCTATGTATAGAAGCTCCTGAAAACATCTGTGTCTAAATACTTAAATAAAAAAATTAATCCCCAAAAGCAAAAACTTTAAAAAAAAAATAATAATAATAATAATGCATTAAATATAAATTAAATGATAATTTTTTTTATTTAAAGTAATTATTTATACAAGTCTGTTGAGCAAACTTGAGCATTTTTACTTTAATAAATTTTTTAAAAAAATTAACTAACTTTAATTGTTTGTTTAAGTCTTTTTGCTAAAACAAAAAGGGTCAAACACTTTTTAGATTACTTAATGCAAAACTACTACTAATAATTGCAATTTCAATACTATCATTCTTTTTATTATCAATGACCTTAATGTCTTTATTACCTATAGTTTCAACATTCTTATCTCTTCTAAATATATATGCAAATTTTTTAATAATCTGATCATTTGAAGAAACCTTATAAACATGATTCTTCTTACTTATTATAAGAAATTTATTAACTTTTATTGAATTAGAAAGATGGTGCATATTATTAAGTGCATTAATAAGTTTATTAAGGCTTGAATCATTGATTCTATGAGCATTATTAGATAATTTACAAACTTCAGAGTTAATCATATTCAGAAGAATTCTTGTATGATGCCAACAGTTACAAATAGTCTCAACTGAAACTTCTTTTTAACTCTTTATTATGTATTACTGTAAATTGCTTAAAGAATATTTATTTTCAAATTCTAAATAAAAATACTCATTTTAACTTTATCTAACATCTATTTAAAAAAAAAATTAGTGCATATACTGAAATAAATATTATATTATCTCAAAATAACACTTCTGAGTATAATTTCAAAATTATACAGTAACTAATTAGTAGTTTTTCATCATAACTAACATTTAACAAACCTAAGTTGATAATAATGATAGGTTTTTTTAAAAGCCATAATGATATATACATCTATTGGTTGCAGCATAGAGGTTGTGTTTGCAAAAAGAAAGTGAACATTAATATAGCAAAGGGTCAACTTATTTAATTTATAACTAGCATATTGATCAAAAAGTAAAAGAACATGCTAACTATTATATTTTTAAAATATTTAGAGATCAAACTTCTAAAGCCACTCTCAAAATAAAACTGTAAGCAACCAAGCTTTATAATTATTTTGATATATTATTGCCAAATTCTGAATTTTTATATTTTTAAAACACTAAAGGTTGATATACTTACTAATTACAAAAAGGTTCAGTTTATGGAATTTATTAGCATTAGTGCATAGGGCTATAGAAAGATACTCTTTATTTTTTTATGTTCTGTTAGACATCATGTTGCTAAAATCTTATTTGGCATCAACCTAAAACAATAAATTAGTTATTAAAATAAAAAAATATACCTATATACAATATATAAGTATTACAAAATAAAAAAAATAAGAAAATCTTAAAAGAACTTTTTATTTTTATTTTATTTTATGATACTTAAATTATAATATTCCAAAATTTACTAATAAAAAAGACCTGTCTTATCTATATTATAAATTTAGTTGAGAGGATACTAAGCACACAGGTTTTTCATTAATAGCAAGAATCAGACAATTATGTTCAAATCAACAAATCCTGTTTCTTCATAAAGCTTCTATTGATGGATTCTATTTCTTTTCTTGAATTTTTAAAGCCATCTGAGAAAGAAATGCAACTTATTTTTAGAGACTTCAAGTTCATTTACTAGCATTTTAGTCTTCTTAATTAACAAAGTATCACTTAAAATGATCTAATGCTAATATATTAAAATAAATTCTTTCAGAGTAAGCTCAAGCTCTGGTATTGCAACAGGTTTGTATCATTTGGCATTAGGGTTTAAAACTTTATTATTGAGTTATTTTTTCTTAGCTTGAAGAATCTGAGTAATTGTAGATTTATTAACTCTAACTCTTTATTTATTTTTAATCAATTTTACCTATTCAGGCCTAGTTTCTTTATTGTCTTTAGTATAAACACAAATCTCATATTTTTGTAAGTCTGTTAAAGTAACCTTTTGTTTTGTTATTATTAATGTTGTATTAAAGACTTTGTCTAAATAAAGAAATATAATATAATATTAGTATTCAATTATAGTTAATTACAATTCATATTGCTGCTACTAGAGTAATAGTAAAAATGTACAAAACAGTATTCTGCAATACCTCAGAAGTATTATCTTTAATGCTTACCTTGTTAATTTTTTAAATAAAAATAAAAATAAGAAAAAAAAATTTCAAAGTAAAAAAAATCTTTTTTAAAAAAAACCCTTTCATGTATCACTAAAGTACTCTTATATGCTTTGTACTCTTAAACTGTTATTAATTTTTATTAATATTAAAAAAAAAGTTTTCTCTAAAAAAAAAAAATAAAATCCTCTATATATTCCACATAGTTACCAAAATAAACACACTTAAGGATCACTTTATAATGTTAATTTACTTGATCAATAATAATGTATATACACACAAAAAAATATACACTACTGCCTAATAATAAGTATTGTAGATAAGTTAATGTCAAACATATTAAGTATTTCATTCTAAGGTTGTTATATTATTTTGTTACCCACTTTACTTCTTTATTACAACATCTAATTTCTCTACTTAAATAACCTCTATCTTACTCAAAACAACTTGACATTAATTTTTAAACATTGATATTCAAAAAAAAAATTAAAAGTAGAAGTTCAATCTCACAAATTGAGCTTTTTTTATATTAATTCTAATTTTAAAATTTGATTAGACAAATTATCATAAGGTTTTTTTTTGTGTATATTTAAAATAAGATCATTTTCTATTGGATAAAAATTATGTGATAATGCATTTATAAAGTTTATTTTAATAATAAATATTTTAAAAAACATTACATGTACAAAATATAGAAGGTGTGTATTTACAATATAGTCCTGACTTGAAACCAAATATTAGAGTTCAATTAGAGAGGATGTGTATTTATAGAGCATGCATTTATAGAGTTGTGACTGTATAATACAATATAAAATAATAATAATAATAAATAATCTAGTTGTCACTAGTGGTAACAGTTACTGAATTGCAATTGAGCTATGAAATCAAAATATGTACTAAAGTTAATTATCATTAGAGTTAGTGTTGAAGTTAAATTAAATTAGATTATAACTTAGTTTATAGTAAAATTTCAAAGAATTTTTTAATTAGATTACTAAAAGTGGTTTTATAGACAAAATTTTGAGCTATTATAGACTTTTAAAAAATTTAAATGTTTTTTTATTTTCAGATTACAAATACATTACATCTAATTTCATGATATAATTGGCCAATTGCAACTTAGTGACTGCTACTGTCAGTGACAAATAAATTTACTCTAATAATAAAATAATAATAATTTTTTATATAATATTTCTATTTTTTTAAAGAAATTTGATTTACAAATTTCAAACTATTACTAAAAGTTAAAAATAGAATTTGTTTCTATTATTTGTAATTATACAATTTACAAATTATTGTTATTTCAACTTTGTTAAATCAATTTCTAATTAATTTTCAAATTTGTTAAGTCAATGTTAATTAGTTTCTAATTTTGGTTTATTATAAAAAAAAATTTAATTATTATTTATAAAAAGAAAAAAAATTTATATCTTATTCTTTTTTTTAAAAAAAAACATTAATAATAATAATAATAATAATAATAATAGTTACACTATTTGTTATACAGATTATTTTTAATATAGGATCAAATAATCAACACACCTAAATTTTATATATAAAATTTGAGCAAATTTTGCTTTTTATACTTATTTAGTAACAAAGAAGTTTGTTTATTTTTTAAGTATCATTTTGCAAACTCTTTAGCATTTGAAAATTCTTATTATAAAATTTTAAAGATGATTAATAATAAAATTGAAAAAAATTATAATCATAAAGTTGAACAATTTTTTTATAAATTTTATTATTTGTTTATATATAATGACAAATGATATACATTATTTTTCCAAAATAAATAATAAGTAAATATTAATTAAAAAATTTTAATAAATGTTTACTTATTACTTATTTTTGAATAAATAATGTACATCACTTGTTATTACATATAAACAAATAATAAAAATCATAAAAAAAAATATACAAAATTGGCAATTACTATCTTGATTCTTATTATAACAAGTTTTTTGATATTACAAACTTTTACTTCTTTCAATATCACAATACATATCAATATTTCATTTATATATTTTTTAATTCTTTTCAGTTAACAACTATCTTAAAAAATCAGTTCTAATATTCTTTAAATATAATATAAATAAAGCTTATATTTATTTTCTTCATGAACTCAAACCTTTGCTTAGACACTTTTTTTTACTATTATAGCATTCTGCAGTTAACCTTCTATATTATACATCTTTAAAATTCTTTTTAATATACTAGTCTTTTTTATACCATCATCTTTAGATAATTTGCTTCTTTCTATTTCTAATAACTTATTACAAACTAGTACTTTCAATACTTTTTCTTTAAATTTAATAATCTGTACTTACAATATTTAAGAATATAATAAATACCTTAAATAGCAAGTTTGAAAGAATTATTGTATCTTTTATTTTCTGAACATTATTAGTATTACAAAAACTAAAATAGCAGAAGACAATGTTATTATCAAATTTCATAACTCTAAACACTACTCTTATTTCTAGTTTTGCACTAATAGTTTCAAAGCAAAAACTGCACTTATTATTCATAAACACTTAATATTTTACATATACAATATTTTTATCCTTCTTGGTTATGCTATTGTTATTGATCTTTTTTTCAAACTGATTACAAATTCTAAATTATTTCTATTTATTTATTATATAAAAACTCATAATTAAGACTCTAAATTCAAAATACTATTATTTAATAAATTCAACAAGCAACTAATTGAAACAGTTTACTTATAATATTAGATGACTTTAATTTATTATCTAACAACTTTACCTTTTTATCTATTAAATACAAACTATTATATTTCTATTAATACAACAATATTTACAATCTAGCAGACTATACAAATACTTTTTCATATACTTGGCATAATAGTAGACATTATAGCATTATAAATTTTATCTGAGTACACTTTTCTTTATTTAAATATCTATACTCATTTTACTTGAATTATATAGAAAACTGCACTAAAAGTAATTACACAAAATTTTTAGATTCTTTTAAACATTTTTTCATACCTTTATAGAAAAAAACAGACACTCAACTTAAACTTAACAAAGAATTTTTAATTATAAAGCAATAAATAAAAAGCAATGAAAAATATTTACTAACCAAATTTTTTTTAATCTTACTTAAAACAAAACTCTTTTTTTTTACTTAAACCTTTGAATTTTTCAAAACCACCTAGCATAAAATTTAAATTAGTATTATTAGGAGTGTGGCAACTTAGTAAAATGATTAAGTTGTCAACTCTTCAAGTAGTAGGTTGGAAGTTTAAAACCTACTGATGACAAAAAATTTGAAAAACCACCTATATTATATTAGTATTATAAGAGATAAGTAATATTATGGTAACAGCACTTCATCGATCAGTTGGAATCAGTACTTGTAACATGGTCACACCAGATAACTGGCAGATTATAA